AGGGGCCATGCAGGGAAGAGAGGTTCTCCCTCTGGGTGTCGGGAGCACTGTGTGGAGGAGGTGGGGTTGGGCCCGGGTAGGAATGCAGCCTCCCGGACCTCAGCCCTAAGAGATTCTCCTTCAGCGAGAGCAGGCAGGGCCCGGAAACCTGCACTTAACAGCCCCAGCTACGGCATCCTGATACAGGGGTCCTGAGGTTCAACTGGAAAACAATGTTTTTGAAGAATTTGGGGGGTGGGATTTGGCATTGAAGATTGGGAAGAATATGGAGGTGGTGAGAGACATTTTGAGTAAAGGAACCGAGACTGGAAAGCAGATGAGCTCCAAGTAGGACCACAGCCCAGGGTGTCAAGGACTGGGGGGCGCCTCCTCCCCTCCACTCTCAGCCTTCTGCTGCCCGCCCTCCCCTCTCAGGGCACAGCTCAAAGCCCATCCCCCCAGCGGCTCCATCACAGCTGCCCCCCCACCCCCTGCACATCGCTGGTCAGTCCCTGCAGCTTTGGATTCTTTGCCCTAGACTTTGTCCTGGTTGGGGGGAGTGGAGGGCAACGTCCAGATCGCTCTCTCCTTCCTTCCCAGCCCCCCTTTCTTTCAGTTAGTAAATATTTATTAAATCCCAACCATTTGTGCAGCACAGTTTTAATCATTCTCTTTCTCAAGAGAGAAATTGGGCCTCAGCTCATGGTCCATGGACCCTGTTAGCAGTGCAGATCTCAGGCCCCCACCCAGACCTACCGAACTGGAAACTGCACTTCAACAAGATTCCTGGAGACTGGTGTCCACACCGACAGAGAAGCGCTGTTGTATGGGGTTTTAACACGGCATGTTGGGAGGCAGCATAAAGCCCCCAACCCAAGGTGTCCAGGTCCTACTCCCAGAACCTGTGACCAGGTTGCCTTATACTGCAAAGTGGCACCAAAGTAGCAGGTGGAAGTAAAGTTGCTAATCAGACAACCTAAGGAGCTGGCCCTATGTTCCTGGGTGGAACCCAAATTATCACAGGGTCCTTAAGAGTAAAAGCGGTGGCAAGAGGGTCAGAGGAGAAGATGTGCCGATGGGGGCAGCAGACACGGTGCAGTGTGAGAGGACTCAGCCCACCGCCCAGGCTCTGCAGATGCAGGATGTCCTGGCCAAGCAACATGGAAGCCTCCCCAGGGCTCCTGAGAAGGAACACAGCCTGGTTGGTGCTTTGATCTTAGCCCAGTAAGACCCACGTCAGACTTTTGACTTCCAGAACTGTAATTTAAGATATTTATGTTCTTTAGGCCACTGAGTTTTCGGGGATTTGCTATCGTATCGATGAAACACAAATGCAGTCTAGAGCCCTGTCCTTGGAGTCAAACACCCCTGGGTTCAAATCTCAGCTGTTCTTACCAGCTATGTGACCTTGGGCAACTTGCTTGTAGCCTCTAGTTGCCTCCTTTATAAAACAGGGACAGTCCTGCCACATAGGGTTGACAAGAAGATTAAACTGGAGCGTATTCAGAGGGTGCTCACCACAGTGCCTGGCCACAGCACATGCTCAGGAAGTGGTAGCGGCCCCTGGCACACTGAGTTGCTCTAGGTCCTTCTCTAACACCAGGAGGGCCTTGGGTAGGTTCTCTGGTCCTCCTCCTCTTGGTCCTTGGGACTTCCAGCAGAGCCATCCTTAGTTCAGACCTGTCCCCTTTCAAACCTGCAACAATGCAGCACCACCAGATGTCCAGGTGACCTTTGCAGCAGCTCCTGGGTGTGAGCATGTGCCACAGTGTCAGTCTGCTGCTGGGGACACAAGTCAGCAAAGGCCCCTACAGCCAAACTGCAGCTGGCTGGTCAAAGGCCCGACTGGTATTCATCCGCACCCCTGGAGAGCCTCTGAGGCCTCCACCCCAACTAACCCCAAGTCAGTAAGTGATCTGAGCAACTCACAGCTGATGGGGATGGCCTGGCGCTCCCTAACTGCGGTCTACCCAGGGGACTGCCCATCCCGTGCCCTATCCAGGGGAGCCAGATGGTGGGGCAGGAACTTCAGGCCCGAGGGATGCCCTCACCACCACCATCTCCAGCACCAGGACATCCCCACTAACTCTCTTTGAGGACCTACTAAGTGTAGGCCCCATGGGGACCTCATATCCCTTGACTCTCACAGAAGCCCACTGACATGTGACTCTCAGGGTCTCAGAGCCAGGAAGTCACAGCCTTGGCATTTTACCTCGAGGTCTGGGCCAGATCCCCTGCTCTTCACCTCTATCCCATGTGACCATGGAGTGGCTGTCACATGCTGGAGGCCTTGCATGGTGCCACCAGCTTGGAGCAGACCCCAAGGTCCTCTCTAAGCTGGTTCCCAGGCTGCCCAGAAGGGGAGCCCATAGGGGTCTGAAGGCCTTGTGGCCTCAGATCCTGTGGCCCTGAAAGCAGCCCAGCCCAGCTGAGAAAAGCCCACAGCCTTCAGAGCCAGGCCCAGGAGCATCACAGGGACGTCCAGGGCTCAGGCCAACCCCGGGGGCTGCCACTCCAGTGGGAATCCATGGTGTCTCGTGACTGTCATCACTGGGGTGGGGGAGGGAGAATATGAAGGAGAAGGTAAAACAAGTGGCCCACTGAGTTGCTCTAGGCCCTTCTCTAACACCAGTCCAGGCCCTTCTGTCTTCCTGAGATGGCAGGAGCCGCAGGGGTAGGTAGGTGGGGCCCAGACTCAGGCTTCTCACCCTTCACTGAATCCCACCTCTGCTCAGGGGCCACTTCTTATAGATTCTGCCACTTTGGGCTGAAGGGCAGAAGCTTGGAAGTTGGACACATAGTTTCTCCTGAAACTGCAGTTTCAGGATAGGCCCACTATTTTTAAAACTCTATAAATTTTTTTGAGTGGTTGATGGACCTTTATTATATTTATTTATATGCAATGCTCAGAGTTGAACCCTGGGCCTCACACGTCGTGCTAGGCAGGGCTGAGCCACAACTCCAGTCCCCACTATTTGTCTTAGTTGTAGGGTTTTTGGAGAAGGTTGGGGCGGGGTGGAGGTAGGGGCTTCCGTGACCCCTGTGACCACTGCATCATAGCACTAGTACTACTAGTCCTACCTTCCTGTTTTAGGTTAAAAACAAAAACCTAGAATATGGCGTGGGCACCGTGGGCATTTGCTGATGCAAATAAAGCTAAGTCGGCCGTACCCCTCCAGCTGCATCCTGGAGGCCCAGTGGGGAGCGAAGGTGGGGGTCCTTGGCCTGGAGACGGGGAGGTCTCCTGCTTCAGGGGAGGCTCCGTGCTTCTGCTGGGAGGGGTCCTGGGCAGCCTGGGGTACTTGCTGGTCCCTGGGGGTGTTGAGGGGAAGAGGGGCTCAGTGCCACACTGTTCCTACAGGTGTAGACGGTGATGGTGTAGATGACCCGGGTCTGTGTGTCCTGTTAGGCTGGGCCACCCTGTGAAAAGAGTCAGAGATGTCCTCTTTGGTGGGCGTGACCTGGGCTAGCCAGGCAGTCACCATCAGTCTGGCCTCCTATCCCCCAGTCTTCTCATGTGACATCAGGGAAAGACAACCCCACCCCATAACTCAGGAATAGCGTCTGTGTCCAAGTGCAGACTACTCACAAGCCTTGCTGTCACTTGAGGCCATCGATATAAGGGACAGTTGAAAAAGGCTGCTGTGTGGCAGCATTTACTGGGAGGGACCCCTACGGATGTCAGGGAAGTCCCCTGACTTTAGAGAAGACAGGTCAGCAGATCACCTGGTGCAGCAGGGAGAACTCATGTCCCTGGGGCCCCGTGCACATGGGTTTCCTGGCTCCCCAGGACCCTTCCCAAGCAAGAGCCTACCTTGGAGGGCGGGAGTCGAGGCGAAAGGGCAAGGTGCCAGAAGCCAGCGTCTTCCACCATGGCTCTGCCAAGTCCTGGCCCAGCGCCTGTGCCCCTCTGTGAATCCAAGGCTGGGTAACCTGCAGGGGGCTTAGCACCAGGATTGGTGAGTGCTCCCGAGGGGCGGAGCCCTGGCGCGGTCCCTGCTTCCCTCCATGGTTTGGAAAACTGAGCTTCCCTTATTTCTGCACAAAGCCTTCACCCCATTGCCCCATTGGCCTGCAGACACATCTTGGCCTCCCCCACAGCAGCGGCTCCCCACCCGGGTGGCACTAGAGCCATCCAGGGAGCTTTGTACAACATTGGTGCCTGCACACTTCAATTAGCCCGGGGTGGGGCCAAGGCCAGCTTGCTCTTATAGGCTCTGGGGTATTTTCTAAGGCATGTGGTCAGAGCTGAGACCCACTGACCCAGATGTTGGTAGTTGCGGGCAGGGGGTGGTAACAGCTTAAGGGCCCCTGTGAAAACAGCTTCCTCCCTCCTTTCCTGTTGCCCCTTTGTCCTTGCTGGTGTCCACAATGCAGCGGTGATGGTGATGTGTGCTAGGTCCCCGGGTGTGGGTCTGAATGGTTCCTGTGAGGACTCCATGTCCCTTCCCTCCTGGTATCCGGCCGGTGCCCAGAGTGGTTAGAATTAGTGCACCCCAGTCCTCCTGTGCCCACCCACTCCCCAGAGGCGCCTGCCCCACTTGGGTCTTAGCATTCCAGCTGCGCGGCTCACAGAAAGTGCGGGAGGATGGAGATGCGTGGAGAGATCCGCTCTGCCGCCCTCATCCTTCTGCCGGCTGCGGTTCCCCGGCAACCGCCCAGCCTGACTCCAGATTGGAGTTCACATGATCCTGCTCAGCTCCGAAACGGGCAGCCTCCAGCCGGGGGTTTTCTAGACAGAGCTGGGAGGTTGGGTCTGCGCGTAATCGCAGGAGAAAGAGCCTGTCCTGGTGGAGGGGTCACCCTGGCTCTGCGGAGCCGTGGCAGGAGCCCAGCAGGGCGTGCAGAATCCGAGCAGCCTCGTCCCAACTCCCCACCCCCTAGAGGACGCCCTCCCTTCGGATTCCAGGAGTAGCCGAGGCTGGACTTTGCTGCCTGCACCTCTCCTGACTGCAGAGACCACACTGCCTTCCCCGGGGGGAGCCAGAGCCTCCAGCAGAGGCTGGGCAGTGCAGGACCGGCCCATTGGTGGATCAGGAAGTCAGTCTAGTAGCTCACGACCTGCATTTTAAATATTGAAACAGAACAGAAAATATCAGAATGCAAGGGCAGTAATGGGGTAAGTGTTGCTTGGGGAAGTTCACTTCTCCGGGTGTATGTGTGTGTGTGTCCATGTCCCAGCGTGCTGGTCAAGTGCACAGCATGTTTCCTGCTATAGTTTGTGGTGCAAAAAGCTTAAAGGCAGCCCATCCAGTGCATGGGTGCCTGGGTTCTAGGTTCTGGGTTCAGATTCCCTCTGACTTGCTGTGTGAGCTTGGGGCCCTTCTGTGTCTAGCCTCTGTGGGTCTCTGATTCTGGGAAATGGGTTCATGTGACTCATGGGGACTTTGTGAGCCCTGAGAAGACTGAAATTTCAGGCCATTCCAAGGACTTCAGAAATGAGACCCTGTTGTCCTGTGGGAGTGAGGCTCTGCCGGGTAAAGATGGGACTGAGGAAAAAGGCAACCTGACTCCTGCACCTTCCTTAGAGGGACATAGTTTCTGATTTTGAGCCCTTTTAGGAAAGGGAATGGCCAGCCCCAGCTCCGAGGGCTGGGGACCCCCTCGAGCCATCCCTAACGTGAGTAGCTGTCTGCGGGTCTGAGTGTACCCTGGGAACGGGGTGGGGAGGTAGGTGCTGCTTAAACCCAGCACCTAGGCTTCTCCGCCCCTGACTTGGACCCTGCAAGAGACTCCGGCCCCTGTCAAGGAGGCGTTTCCTCCTTCTGGGGGCTTACTTTCTCTTGGTCTTTGAAGTCCCCCGAGACCTCCATGCTGATTAGCATTTGTCTAAGGATGTGCCTCCAGGCGTGAGTCACTTGCTGCAGTTTTTCTCAGTTTCTTAGCTGGATGGTAAACTGTCCTTTTGATTCTTTTCCACCACCCCCTCCCTGGTGAGAGACCAGGGATGAGGCTGTTTTCTTTCCTCCGAGGTTGGGTGGAGCGTCCTCCAGGTTCAGGGGGCTAGCCCAGGACCTCACCTGCTGGTTCTGGTGGTGACTTCCTGGGGCCTGGAGTTGGAGCCTTGGGGTGGAGGGTGGTGGCTGCGGTCATCCTGTTAAGTGGTCAGAGAGCAAGGTTTAAAGGAGAGTGTGGGCCGGTCCAAGTTCAAGACCCAGCCTGCTGCCACGTCCCAGCTGTGGGATCTTAAGCAGGTTGGTTCATCTCTCCGAGCCTCGGTTTTTCCATCTGTGAAGTGGGGGCTGATGAGTGTGGCCTGGTTGAACGTATAGAAACACACCTGGCAAGCGCAGGGCTCTGGACAGGCGTGGCCTGGCTTCCCACCCCTTTGTTTTCCACTTGGAGAACTCTCTGCATCCAGTGTGGATCAGAGTTCTTCAGAAGACCAGGAAGGGAAGGGACACTCCCCGCAAGGCATAGTTTCCATCTGGGGTGCCTGTCCTTGGGGAGAGCTGGATGTGAGAAGGCTGAGTGAAAAAGCAGGACCCTCTGTCCAGCTTAGGGAGCCCAAGCAGAGAGCCACGGAGATTCTGCCTTCTCACTTTCCTGTTTAATTAAGGCCATCTCTGCTCCAGCCTCAAAATCTCTACCACTCACCCATTCCCCACCCATCTACTTACCCACTCATCCATCCCCCACTCATCAACCTGGCCACTTACCCATCCCCCACCCATCAACCTGTTCACTACCCATCTACCAACCCATTCACCCATCCCCTACCATCTACCTACCCACTCATCCATCCCTCACCTGTCCACCTACCTACTCACCCATTCCCCACTCACCAACCTGCCCATTCACCCATCCCCACCCACCAACCTGTCCATTCACCCATCCCCACCCATCTACCTACCCACTCACCCATCTTCTGCCCATCTACTTACCCATTCACCCATCCCCTTCTCATCCACCTGCCCATCTATCCGTCTGTCTGCCCATTAACTTGTCCATCCAGCCATCTACTCCGGCTCATCACCTTATCCATCAGTCTATCTATCCATGTATCCACCTAGCACCCACCCACTCACTGACCCTTCCACCCATTTATCTATCCACCCATCACTCATCCATCTGTGCACTACCCCTCACCATCAGTGCACCCACCCACACACCCTTCTACAAAATTATTTTTGAGAACCTGAAGGACCAGGTACTGAGGAGCTCTCAGACAGTCCCCACTGTTCCCCACTCTAATTAGCTGTCAGTTGCTCCAACTTCTCCTGGTCTCCTCCCTGGCCGTGCCTGCCTCATCCCTAGATCCTGGCATGCCAAGCTACTCTCAGTTCCCCAAAGGCACTCATTCTCTCCCTCTCACACCTGATGTGTTGCTCACGTTTTCCACAGACAGAAACCCCCTCTGCTTGGGCAGCCCTTCCTCCTTTTCTTGGTCATAGCGGAACTGCTGTTGCTCAGAGCAGGCTTTCCTGACTGGGTTAGGCCAATGGACTCCCATCAAATCCCTGCTCTTCTTATGAGCATGTTCCTTTTTCCTTCTCTCCTGCCTCATCAGGCTAAAAGCAGCTTGGCTCTAGTGTGGAGTGGAGTGCCTTCTGTATAATAGATGGTCAATGAGTATTTGTTATAGGAATGAATATGTGGATAGATGAGTGGATGGATGGAGAGGCGGGTGCATGGGCAGATGGGTGCATGGATGGGTGGATGGGTGGATGGATAGACGGATGGGTGGATGGTTGAGTGGGTTAATGGAGGATGGTAGAGCCCCCAAAGCAGTGTATGACTTGGGTGAGATTTGTGTCTTAGAGGACGGCTTTGAGGTGGTGAAATGGAGACAGGAAGCCCAATAGGAGGCTGTTGCCGTGACTCTGGGAGGAGTCTTGAGCCAGCCCCTCCCTCTAGGGTGCTGGTAAAGAGGAGATGAGTGTGGCAGACACTTAGGAGGTAGAAATGGCAGAACTTGGTAATGAACTTAATGCTGGGGCTGAGGGCGAAGGAGGAAGCTGACGGCCAGTTATCCCACCTGAACGATGGGGCGGGTGGGGACATCCCTTCCGAGGGCAGGTCCGTGGAGAAAGCGATGGACCCCCTTTTCTCCACGTTGCTGTTGTGTGAGGGCAGGAGCCGCCTGTGCAGCCTTCAACCTGGGGTGAGGCCTGGGTTCATCAGGGCCCCATGGGGTTGGGATTGCAGAGGAGACGCCATCCCACAGAGAGTGGGTGGCAGGGGGATGCCCGCAGCACCCACTGGACACCACGTGTGTGGCAGTCATTGGTGTGTGTGGCATGTGGCATTCCTGTCTTCCGAGCTTGGAGGTGCCCTGAGGCTGGGAGCCCCTTCTTGTTGGTCCCTCCTGTCTGGCCTGCTGTCATGAACACTGTACCCGCTCCACAAATTCTCGTCCCAGTCTGAAACTACTGGACTCCCTGGCAAGCTGCTCGCTCTCTCTTTGGACCTCAGTTTCCTTGTCTCTTAAATGGGGACAATAACAGAGCTGTTGTGAAGATGGGACAAGAGGACAGAAGTGAAATGCTCTGTAAACAGTAAGTTGTTGCAGATAAGTAGTACAGGCACTTGGACAGTTTCACTGTTCCTTGAGAGCCTGAATCAGGCCCAGGGCCCTGTCCCAGTCCTGCTCACAGGTTCTGCTGGGCTCTGGCACCTCCGCTGCCCTGCACTGGGAACACACACAGGACATGTGAATCTTCTAGACTCTCCTAGTGCCTTGCTACTCAAAGTGTGGTCCATGGCTCAGCAGACCAACTGCATCTGCCTCACCCAGGAGGTTGTTTGAAATCTAAAACCTCAGATCCACAGAGTCCAGAAACTGGAGGATGAGGCTCTACAATCTGTCTCAACAAACTTCTGGGGGATCAATTCGAGGGGCATCCAAGTTCAAGAACTGCTGGTCTTTTTGCTCCAAAATGAACGCAGGCAGTGCTTTAACCTCACTGTAGTGGATGCTTCTTCTTGGCTCTGAAGACTTGAATATTTTCTGATGTTGGTTACCGGATTTAACTAACTGCTGCCTAGAAAAGAGGAAGCTGAGAACCATCACCCTGCCCCGCCCCAGCCCACACGTCCACACACTCACCACCAGCAAACAGCAGACTTCAGACCTGGTGACTACCCGGGGAATTTCCCAGACCTGACAGGACATGTTTTCAGAGTGGCTTCGTTTTCCCTATTTTATCGGAGTTGGGTTGTACCTGCCTGCATTCCCTTCCTCTCGGCACCAGAATATAGAAGTGAAAGACAAACACAGAAAACCCCAAGTGCATGGTGGGTAGGGATGTCAAAAGGTACAGCTGCTATGGAACACAGTAGGTTGGCCCCTCAAATAACTGAACGCAGCACCCCCCCCAAAGATCCAGCAATTCCAACCCTGGGCATATGTCCCAAAGAACTCAAGGTGGGGAACTTGAAGAGATCTGTGCACGTCCAAGTTCAGAGCAGCAGCGTTTGGAATAGCCAAAGGCAGAGGAAACAATCCGAATGTCCCCTGGTGAATGGACACACGAGTAACAGGTGGTGTGTGCATATGTGAGCATTTTATTCAGCCCTAAAAAGGTAGGAAATCCTGGCCCGTGCTACAACGTGGTGAATCTTGAAGACATTATACTGGATGAGAAAAAGCCAGGCACAGAAGACAAACACTGAGTCCTCTTGCTCCAGGGACCTAGGTAGTCAGGTCAGAGTCGGAGATTGGAAGGTGGCTATCTAATGGGGCTGGGGAGTTAGCGTTTAATGAGTATGGAGTTTTGCACTGGGACAGGGAGGGAGGGCGATGAGGGTGGTAGACCCAGATTCGCATCTCTGAATCCCACAGAACTGTTCTCTTCACTGGTCAGGGTGGCAAGTTTTATGCTGTGTGTGTTTTTCCACAATTAAACGTCACCATCCCAGGGGTTCCAGGCTGTGTCCTGGAGAGGAGGGGGAAGGTGAGTCCAAGCGGGAGTGCAGGTAGGGGCTCAGGTGGGGTGTGGAGTCCTGGGTTCTGGCGTTGATGTGACACTCCCTTCCTCAGGCTGGCTGGGGCAGGTCACTTCCTCTTTTGAACCTCAGGTTCCTCACCTGGAAAGTGGGAACTGGCATTCATTGACTGGTTCTAGAAGAAGCTATCCAATTCAAGCCATGGGGAGACGGCAGCCAGCAGTGGGTGAGGCCTCTAGTGGAAGAGAAGGAGCAGTGACCGGCAGATAAACAAACAAGATGGTCAGAGGCGCTGCGCAGAGCAGCCACAGGGTGATGGGCAGGCAGAAGCCCAGATCTGGCAGAAAAGGTGCCGGCACTGTGGCACTGTGGCACTGTGGCACTGTGGCGGGGGTTGAGAAGGGAGAAGCTCAGGAAGAGGCTCAGCAGGTGGCTGAGACACAGAAAGCTGGCCAGCATGTGGGTGGTAGGCCAGGTGGCGGGAACTGGAGCCAGGTGGTGTGGGCCTTGGAGACCTGGCGAGGGTTTGGGTTTTCCTCCAGGTGTGACAGGAGCTGTCTCACAGGGATCTATCTGGCCTGTGTTTGGAAGGCTCGCTGTGGCTGGGCGCAGAGCTGGAGGGGAAGGGGAGCACTGGGGGAAGGGGTGAGCTACAGGAAATGAGCTCATGGTGGGGGAATGGGGGTGGAGGGCTGGGGAAGAGGAGGAGGAGGAGGGCTTGGCCCTGGAGAGGCAGGGATTGGGGTGCAGGTAACAGAGAGTGTGGCTTTGGACCAGACCCGTCTCTTGCTCATTTTATGAACACTTATGAAAGCTACTGTCCCGCAGAATACATCAGACACTAGAAAGGCAATATGTCAATCAATGGAAGGGTAACTGATGTGATACAGCAATCTGT